TCAGTCAGTCAGTCAATCAGTCAGTCAGTCAATCAGTCAGTCAGTCAGTCAGTCAGTCAGTCAATCAGTCAGTCAGTCAGTCAGTCAGTCAGTCAGTCAGTCGGTCGGTCAGTCAGTCGATCGGTCGGTCGGTGGTCATAGCCGAATCTTTTTATCTGCTATCTTCGAAATATTCCTTCGTCACAGCTTTTAAACGTAAAATGGTGATAAAAATTAGAGCGCATCCAAGTTAAAAACTCTCACTCCACACGTTTTTGTGCCATTTACAGCCGTCTTTCAATGACCACTCCAAAAAAAAAAATGGACCAAATAGGGTGCAGACTGCTCAGTTCTAATCAGAAAATCCTAAAACACTGAAATCGAATAAGATCCCCATGAAAACAACAAGAAAGGGACAAACAAATATGTATAGTTTTAGTGCAAACGAGACTTGGGTGAATTTTTTAGTAAAGGAAGTCATTATGCATACGGACTATCGTGCCCAGTACTCGATCGCTTCCCCATGACGAGTATCATTCAAAATAATTGGGAATGGCCTAGGTCAAGAGCCAGATTCATCCTTCATTAAAGAAAATATTATAGCGCTAATAAAAACAAAAAACAAAATAAAACAATAATAAAAACTGAAGACCCAGAGTGAAAAGCACTTCTCGCCGTTATGCAAATAAAGCTGCAAATAAATCTGTAAATAAAGCTGCCTAATTCCTGCGCTCACTCGTGAGTTTACGAGTTGAAAACAAGAAGAGAAATTCCATATCTGCAAAGAACAACGTATTATTTTATTTATTATATAAACACCACATGCCTTTACTGACAAGAAAAGTCGACTTTAAGTAATGAACAAAAAAAAGTTAGAAAAGAAAAATGATTCACATTCCGGGGAAAAAATCAGAATGAAAAAAAAAAAATGCGTCAACGTAATATCATTACAAAAACGAAGAATGGATGTAACTTTCAACTCCGCACAATATGCCATAATCCTAGAAAATTTCGATAGAAGATCTTTGATTTACCGTTCGTTCATCACCTGACAGAGAAGAACGAAAGGCGCGAGTGACGTGTCAGGCCTGTCAGCATGGCGATATCAAGCAAACGTAAAAATTATCGTAATTTTACAGTATGCTGTTACGGCTTTTCTCAGGGCTAGTTAATAAATATAATAAAAGATGTTTTTGCCTTCGGTGTATGCTTTCTCAAGATCATCCCTGGAGTTTGTCCATAATTGTATTCCTAAACTTATTGAAGTTCTTTACTAAACGAAAGCTTTCAATTACTGTAACTGTGTGTACTTTGAATACAGTAAGTCATTAAATTTGACAATTTGAATTTTCTTTGCTTAAAATTTCAATTAATTACGCCTTAACAGTTAAAAGAAAAAACATCTATAATTACGCAGTTCAGTCAGGTACCTGTTTCACGAATAGTGCATGGTTGACGGTTTAAATATAATATGAGTTTGAAAAATTTTATATGCGTTTAATGGCGACCAGTTACGTATTTATATATGAGCGCTAACGTTATATAGAATTAAATGTGTGTGGTTTTTGCTTTTTTTTCTGAAAGAAAACAAGCGCTTGTAACGATTAAACTCAGCGGAAAGTGAAAAACATTTACTGATGTGCGATCCATTGAAAGCTAAACCCCGACTGCAACTTACTTAACAATGCAAGAAATGTTATTGAATAATTATGCAAATTATTCTTAAAATAAATGTTTCTGGTCTTTCTCTAATTATAAATACACAAATAGATACAAAATTTTCAAAAGAGAAACTATTTTTAAAAACAGATTTGTACTTGCAATGAAGGTGTTGCTGCCTTAAATTTTGCTTGAATGTAAATCATTTGCCTTCGACTGCTCTCTGTCAGGTTTATCATAATTTTGTTCAATTCGGCTAACTGTGCCATTTTCGTGCTGTTCGATTGTTTGAATGTGTCCGGCAGACTCGCAGGAAATCCCAAAGAGTTTGAATCAAACGACCAAACTTTGGCCCAAAACTTTTTTATCTTAGCATGCAACATGTCAAGACCAATATCCCCTGATATCCGTAACATCAATGCCATGTTAAAGGCGGAAGCAACCAACAGCAAAGACATGCAGCACACAGAGCGGCGAAAAGACCCTCATCTCTTTGGCAAAAGGTCGGTTGATCTTCATAGATGAATACCGTAGTTTGTGGAGCCACCATAGGGTATGGCTGGTATGGCTGATTCGTGAACACTTCTGAGCTGGGCGGAGGAAATTCTCTTTGAAAGGGAATTCCGCTTTCGTTAGCAGGGTAGTAGTGTGGCGGTTGAAATGAAGGTTGCTGGTAGTAACCCATTATAAGTTCAAATTTAACTGCTGCGGATTGAAATTACAAAACTGCTTTTCAAATTTGTTAGAAGGCTCAATGTAGTGTAGTATTCCTTTAGTCCTGTGCGTACACCTTCGGTTTGAATTTCAATATGCGCAGATACTTGAAAAATAACAAAAACAACGAATTGATTTTACTCCATCGACGTCTCTGCAATTGTTTCCGGTTGTTGAAGATGCAAACAACGATTCCTTTACTTGCAAGACCTTTTCCCAAGTATTTGACGCTCACGTAACAAAACAAGATGGGCAGTTAGTTCTGTTTGCGCAGCGAACTCCCCTGCCGTTCGACCATTAATTTGTGTTGCCTCCAGGGAACGATACTTAGATGAAAGAATTTGATGAATGATATTTTCCCATCGAATTGGAAAGGCAACCTGCTATCGAAAGCGGTTAGTTTCGACGGAGCAGACTTGCAATGGAACGGTAGAGTTCTCACTCAGTACTTCGGTAACAAATACCGCTTTGGCCTTCCCGCTTTGCCGTTGTTGTTCTGTATTTTTGTTTGGTTGAAAATTTTCCAATAAAAGGAAGTTTGAGAGACGCCACATAAACAGGTTAAAACCAGATCCATGCATATTTAACGAGCGGTAACGAGATGTTAAGTAAATGGCACCTCTTCATGATTATGTTTACACACCATGGGTGTTTTCCAAACGATATGTTAGGGGTTTGCAAAACAAACCATCACCCAAATGACACCAACTGTTCCCTGCATGAATTTAAATTATTTTTTATATACATATATCGGACCAGACGAAGAACCAAAATGTGAAGCCGATAGAGTCTATCAATTCAAGCTTGCCAGAAAGATGTTCACTTAAAAACCTGTTGCTATAACATTGTCACTTATTTACGCTCAACTTGTTTGTTTTGTTCCGTACTCGCCAAAATCAAACAGTCAATTCGTTAGGAAAGTAAAAATGAGTTGATAAAGAACTGAAAGAAATTAAATCTTAGCTGACGCCTTGACTTTAATTGTCCAGCTCATTTTTCGTTTCTCTGCTTTTCGCGAACACTTTTGTTCATGTCGTTTAATTTCGACTATGAATAGAAAGCTTACGTAAATTTAAAGTCTTAACCACCTGTGGCTGGCGGTTGTGTTTCGTCCGAAAATAATTTTAAATATTGTAAAAATGTACTGAACGTTGCGAGTGAAAACGAGCGAATACAAATTACCTACGACTGACAAACGTTTAATGTTTACATTTTAGCAATTACAATTATAATAAATATTTAAATTTCACCAGTCTTCACGGTGTGGGACTCCGTGGCGCAATGGTAGCGCGTCTGACTCCAGATCAGAAGGCTGCGTGTTCAAGTCACGTCGGGGTCACGACGATACATTTTGTTTCCTATTTCCTCTAGAAGAAAATGATAGTTTTTCTTCATCCTTCATTTTCCCGCAAATCCTTTTTATTTCCTTTTTTTTTTAATTCTTAATGAAACATCTCCTTTACACACCAACAAGCAAGAAGGTAGCACATTTCGTAAAGAGTTTTCGCTCCATCAACAACGTTAACCAGCGGTATTTTTTCAAAACCCTAAAGAAAAGTGGACGAGATGGGACTACATCGCGAGCATAGACGACGTTTGAACAAGGGAAGGAGATTATCCACTAAACTGATTAAATTTCTAACTTATCAGTAATGTAAACGTCTGGTATTCAGACTGAAAGCTTCTCACGCCACAGTGGAATATTTCCTCGACCTCTGAGTCTGGTAAGACAATTGCTCAATTGTCTTATATGCTGAGCATCACGTACGGTTTTCGACAAAGCATATTCCGTGTGTTTCAAACGATACTGGTCAGGGCTTTAGCCAGCGTCTCCCGGAGGCCTCTAAGAGCACACTATTCTAAATCAAAGCCGTAGTCCCAAACGATCAATATTTTTATCCAAGATCAGGCTGTGCGGAAGTCTTGCCAGGGGAGGGGAGAGGAGTTTTATGAAGATTTCTCGTGACCTCTTCACACATTAGATGCGTTTTAATTATTTTCGTTCGAGCAAACCATGACATGTTTTGGTTGTTTTTAAAATAACAGTGCAGAAAGACTTAATAAGTAAGAAAAGAATGATAAAGGGTTTAATTGTTTACAAGATCACTCAAGTGTAGTTCTACTGGCCTACAGGGGTGAGTGGGAAGTCTTGGAAGAAATATTTTTTCTGCTCTTAATTCCAAACCCTTACTCAGTGATCTCAAATCTCATGTTTTGTTAACTAGTCTGGATTGTTTAAATGCAGTTAGCTGCAGACAAAAGCCATAAGTAGACTTCCTGCAGATTGATTTCTCATGATATCAGAGTTGACTCTGTTGATATATAGCATGCAATGTTTGTGAGAAGGGATTTGGATGAGGTTGGGTGAGGCTGTGAAAAAAGTCTATCCCCTTCCCTTTGTACTGGCTTTTTCTTTACACGCTCATAGAATGGTAAGAAAAATAAAGACAAAAAAAAAAAAGAAATCTTAATCCTACGTTTCTATCAAATGACAGCTGACTTGTAATTAGAACTGATAATGTATCATTGACTTGACTCCAACATGACCCTCCTACGCCCAAGATCTGATTGTTCATTCTCCCCTCTACCTGTTACGCATTTCCTTGTGAATTAGCTAAGAGAAGTTGGTGTTAGATCAAGATAACAACTTCTTCTTTATAAGTTTGAGTATTCTCATTACATGTTTGCTGGATAATGTTTGATTGTTAAAGGGAGAAGTTACAGGTTTATCACTTCTGGGAGTTAAAGGGTTATTTAATTAAACCATGTTGTGAAATTTGCCCAGTTCTCCTCTTTCCACCAGTCCTTTCAAATCCATCCACCCCGCCTCCCAACAATGCACACATGTAATCCTGTTCTTCCCAATTTGCTCTTCTTTCCATTCTTCCTTCCATCCCCCGATGACAAATCTAAATTGTGGCATAATTGAAAATTTTATTCACTTTTTCATTTAAAGTGGTTCTTAAATAGCACAAACATATTTGCAAGGCTAAACTGAAATTGTCTTCACTATTTTCCTACAATTCAATTAGGGTTAGGAGGAAAATTCTAAGTCAATAATTGTTCATAAAAATTACTACCGATACTACATTTGTGATCACCAGGAGTACCTTTGAAATTGAATCTATTCAAGTGGCTTTCCTCTACTCATGTGGAAGATTTTCATATTACATTCCTCCTAAAATCATATTGTGATATCAACTCAATTGCTGCAGCATAGTGCAGTGAATTTAACAGAACAAAGCAAAGAAACTGTGTAACCAGGTGTCACAGGCATATTGACATAAAACAGAAAATTCAGTTTTTAAATTGAGGCAGCCCTGGTGTTTTTTGAGATTTAAACCTAACACTTCTTTTTAGAATAAGCTTCCAAAAGAAATATTGTAAAAAATACTGGTTGCTTCCTGAAGATTTCAGCCATCAACTGATCCCCTGATTCAGCTCTATAATCCCTAAGAGGTGGTCAGGGGGGAGAGATGCCTCTTAACTCTGGAGCCTCAACTCTCTCTCTACCCTGCTAACTCCCCCACTTGATTAACAGTTAAGAATTCTTCTTGTACGCAATAAAACAAACATACCAGCTATTATCTAATGAATCAAGTCTAGGGAGTTTGAGGGTTGGTATTTTCCTATTCAATAACAAGGGCTACCTTACACTCACTTTTAAGATTGTATGAAATAAGCAATGGCTATTCAAAAATTCATAACCAACAACAACATTTAATATCCTGGATTTTCTGGCCGAGCATACTGTCCAAAATAGCAATTAATATCATGCATGTGAGATATAAATATTATATCACCCATGCGTTAGGTTACCTAACCTATCACGTAAACGCGACAGAATTAAAATAAATGATTATATGGACAGGCAGGTTACTCCACCTAGGCCAGTTAGCTGACCTGCCTGGTATCCTGACTTATATGCAGTCAAAATATGATTACAGTATACTAACTGGTCCTTACAAGCTATAAGAAAAAGCATCACAAATTCTATTAATGTTGCGAAATACTTTGAAATGGTAGTTACTGTATTTAGTTTTAAAATATAACATAACTTAAGTATATAAGACATTGAATGAAACAGTTATTATTTTGAACAGTTTAGATATCCACCCATAGTCCAAACGTACTGTTTGGGTGAAAGTTGCTTTGACATTTCACCTTTCAAAACACCTAGAGAACGCGCCATTTTAATTTAATTTGTTGCTCTAAATATCTCCGTCGAGTGAAATGTACAGGCATCTTCCGTCATTAGTCGTCATCATTCTGAACTCTTCCTCGCCACTGTAACGTCCAAGTTGCAAGGAACAAAAGCATTGTGAAGCGGCGCTTGATAGTTGGTAGTGTAATCAATTAGTTACCGAATTAATACTTGTTGTAAGTTAGCTGTCTATTTCATCGTCTTCTTCTACTGCATTTTCTAAAAAGAGAAAAAGAGATTTTTAAATTTAAAAAAGAAATATTCAGCTTATGATCTGTAGAGTTTTGACATAGTGAAGTGTGTTTTCCCGCCCAAACTATCTCATCACTGCAGAGTTAATAAATTCCTGCACTTAGAATCAATTGTACAATCATATACTCCTGTTGTACTCGTTGAATTGACGTTAGTGAACGAATATTTCTTTACAAAATAACCCTTACCCCAAAACACTTAATTCATATATCAGCTGTGCGTTACGCACTTTTTGCCATCTTCAAACTTCCCGCAAACCTCATGCATTGACATATGCAGATTGACGCATGAATCAGTTGTTAATTTGCGTGCAATTGGCTTGTTGTCTTTTAAAGTTTTGATCGGAGTGTCCATGAAAGAGGTGTAGGGTCTAGTTCTGTGATCCTTGATTTACAAACGTACTTACCAACATACTTGAAGGAGTCAAACCATTCCTTTTTGTTAAGCTTGTGATCCCCGTCCAAATCAGACGAAATCATGAACCCAAACAGGCATTCCTCATGTGGAATATGCGCCATCATAGCATCAACCTCAGCTTTATCTAGAAAACCATCTCCGTTTGAATCGATGTCATCAAATTGGAACTAGGAAAGGTTCACACATGATTAATATTATGATAATCGAAGAATGGTTCAGAAAAAAATCAGCGATGCATAAATACCTCAACACTGGCACAACAAAAGGCACATACTGGGTGATTTTCAACCGAGTCTCAAACCTAACCCGGCAATGCGTAACACAACGGTCAAAACGCGGACAAATCACCTTCAACCGAACTCGATTCTATTCTTACCGTCAATATTTCTGTTTTCTCTGAGGACGTAAATCCAAGCAGCCTTGTCTGGTTGACAAGACCTTCAACATCTAGAGATGGTGGATCATCACTTTCATAAATTTCTTTATTTATCATTGCCCATTCCAGGAAGCGTTCTGCAAACTGTAGAATTTCTTCCTCGTTACATTCATTGATAGGAACGAAGGACTCGTCGACCAGTTTTGAGATCTGCTGGCCCTTTGCATACGCTAAAAAAGGTAAAATAAAATAGACACCATGATTGTACAGCTGTACAATTACAGGTAAAACGTATTCATCATTGGAAGGCTTTTTCCACTCATCCCTATTCATACCAAGGGTCATTTTGATTAGTACATGCAAAGAGTGACACATAGTGTTTACTGCATTGTGTTTTACAGTGAGTACATCGAGATCTAACTAATTTGGTTTAGCGGTGGTTTGATTCGGTTGATTTCTTACTTTGTATCAAGCCGTTTGTCCCTCATCCGCTACAGAAAATAGGAAAAACACGTGCGCTACTTTAAGTTTTGAGCAATCAAATTTCGATTGAGTATTGGAAGGCCAACACTAAAATAGACAGGATGGCAACTATAGTTAAGGAGAACTATAACACGATGATAATAATTATCACCCTAAAACAAACAAACTACGTGAAGTGCAAGAAAAAGTGAACCACCAGATTGATATTACTTTGCATATGATCGGTCACAAGGTTAGTTCATGCTTTTTTGACGAATCACAGAGGGAATTCAACAAAGTAACTCAAAGTAACGCTGAGAACTAGAATTACACTATTGATGTTATTAATAAAATACCTTCACATCTTCCACGGTGCTTCACAGCAACGTTGATCTGCATCCTACAGGCGTGGCGATGAACCTCGCACAGGTTGTGATAATCCTCCAGAAACACAGAGCAGTGAGGATCGGGATCGTCATTGCAATCAGTTGGACAGTAACACTCGGGTGACTTGTTTTCACCAATGCGGCACATCTTTCCATCCTCGCACATAATCCCTTTACATTGCTCTGTTCTGTTATCTGTTTTGTTGCCTTCAAAAGTGGTAAATAATGAGTTGGGCGTTATGAAATAGGTTGTCATTCTTTTAAAGTCACTGCTTAGATATTTAAGCATGATCTGTTAGAACGTGACAATGAAACAACTGCCATTCGTCAACTGCCACTCGAGCCCCGGCCGGACCAATACTCATGGTCTTAAAATAAGTGAGGAGAATTTGCTACCTTTCTATGAANCTGTTGTTTGTTCCTCAGTTGGTGCAACTGTTGTTTCTGCCTCAGTTGGTGGAGCTGTTGTTTTTTCCTCAGTAGGTGCTACTGTTGCTTTTTCTTCCGTTGGTGCAGATGTTGTTTGTTCCTCAGTCGGTGCAACTGTTGTTTTTATTTCATTTGGTGCAGTCGTTGTTTCTTTCTCAGTTGGTGGAGCTGTCGTTTCTTCTTCAGTTGGTGCCGCTGTTGTTTGTTCCTCGGTTGGTGCAACTGTTGTTTCTGCCTCAGTTGGTGGAGCTGTTGCTTTTCCCTCAGTAGGTGCTACTGTTGTTTTTTCTTCCGTTGGTGCAGATGTTGTTTGTTCCTCAGTCGGTGCAATGGTTGTTGTTATTTCATTTGGTGCAGCCGTTTTTTCTTTCTCAGTTGGTGGAGCTGTCGTTTCTTCTTCAGCTGGTGCCGCTGTTGTTTGTTCCTCGGTTGCTGCAGCTGTTGTTTGTTCCTCAGTTGGTGCAACTGTTGTTTTTTCCTCAGTTGGTGCAACTGTTGTTTCTGCCTCAGTTGGTGGAGCTGTTGTTTTTTCCTCAGTAGGTGCAGCTGTCGTTTTTTCTTCCGTTGGTGCAGCTGTTGTTTCTTCCTCAGTTGGTGGAACTGTTGTTACTTCTTCAGTTGGTACAGCTGTTGTTTTTTCCTCAGTCAGTGCAACAGTTGTTCCTTCCAAAATTGGTGGAGCCGTTGTTTGTTCCTGAGTTGGTGGAACTGTCGTTCCTTCTTTAGTTGGTACCGCTGTTGTTTGTTCCTCGGTTGGTGCAGCTGTTGTTTGTTCCTCGGTTGCTGCAGCTGTTGTTTCTTCCTCAGTTGGTGCAGCTGTTGTTTGTTCCCCAGTTGTTAGAGCTGTTGTTTCTTCCTCAGTTGGAGCCACTGTTGTTTGTTCCCCACTTGGTGCAGCGGTTGTTTCTTCTTTAGTTGGCGGAGCTGTTGTTTCTTCTCCAGTTGGTGCAACTGTTATTTCTTTCTCAGTTGGTGCCGCTGTTGTTACTTCTTCAGTTGGTACAGCAGTTGTTGGTTCCCCAGTCAATGCAACCGTTGTTTCTTTTTCATCTGGTGCAGCCGTTGTTTCTTCCTCAGTTCGTGAAACTGTCGTTTCTTCTTTAGTTGGTGCCGCTGTTGTTTGTTCCTTAATTGATGCAACTGTTGCTTCTTTCTCAGTTGGTTCCACTGTTGTTTGTTCTCCAGTTTGTGCAACTGTTGTTTCTTCTTTAGTTGCTGCAGCTGTTGTTTGTTTTCCAGTTGGTGCAGCTGTTGTCTCTTTCTCACTTTGAGCTGTTGTTTCTTCCTCAGTTGGTGAAACTGTCTTTTGTTTCTCGGTTGGTGCAGCTGTTGTTCCTTCCTCAGCTGATGCAGCTGTTGTTTCTTCCTGAGTTGGTGCAACTGTTGTTTTTACCACAGTTGGTGCAGCTGTTGTTCCTTCATCAGTTGGTGAAGCTGTTGTTTCTTCATCAGTTGTTGTAGTTGTTGTTTTTTCCTCAGTTGGTGAAGCTGTTGTTTCTGCCCCCGTTGGTGCAGCTGTTGTTTCTTCCGCAGTTGGAGCAGCTGTTATTTTGGCCTCAGTTGGTGCAGCTGTTGTTTGTTCCCCAGTTGGGGCAGCTGTTGTTTCTTCCTCAGCTGGTGCAGCTGTTGTTTGTTCCTCAGTTGGTGGAGCTGTTGTTTCTTCCTCAGTTGGTGCTACTGTTATTTGTTCCCCAGTTGGTGCAGCTGTTGTCTCTTCTTTAGTTGGTGCAGCTGTTGTTTCTGCCTCGGTTGGTGCAGCTGTTGTGTTTTCCTCAGTTGGTGCAGCTGTTGTTTCTTTCCCAGTCGGTGCAACAGTTTTTCTTTCCTCAGTTGGTGAAGCATTGGTTTGTTCCTCAGTCGGTGCAACTGTTGTTTTCTTTTCATCTGGTGTGGCCGTTGTTTTCTCTTTAGTTGGTGCAACTGTTTTATCTTCCTCAGCTGTTGCCAACGTTGTTTCTTTTTCAGTTGGTGCAGCTGTTGTTTCTTTTTCCGTCGGTTCAACTATTGTTTCATCTTCAGTTGGGGCAGCTGTTGTTTTTACCTCAGTTGGTGCAGCTGTTGTTTCTTCCCCAGTTGATGCAGTTGTTGTCTCTTCTTTAACTGGTGAAGCTGTTGTTTCGGCCTCGGTTGGTGCAGCTGCTGTTTCTTCCCCAGTTGGTGCAGCTGTTGTTTTTTCCTGGGTTGGTGTAACAGTTGTTCTTTCCTCAGTTGGTGCAACTGTTGTTTTCTTTTCATGTGATGCGGCCGTTGTTTTCTTTTCAGTTGGTGTAACTGTTTTTTCTTCCTCGGCTGTTGCCACCGTTGTTTCTTTTTCAGTTGGTGCTGCTGTTGTTTCTTCCTCTGTTTGTGTAGCTGTAGTTGTTTCTACAACACGTTCAGCTGTTGTTACTTCCTCAGTTGTCTTCTCAGTTGGTGCAGCTGTTGTTTCTTCCTCAGTAGGTGCAACAGTTGTTCTTTCCTCAGTTGGTGCAACTGTTGTTTTCTCTTCATCTGGTGCGGCTGTTGTCTTCTCTTTAGTTGGTGCAGCTGTTTTTTCTTCCTCAATTTTTTCCACAGTTGTTTCTTTTTCAGTTGGTACAGCTATTGTTTCTTCCTCCGCTGGTGTAACTTTTGTTTCATCTTCGGTTGGTCCAGCTGTTGTTGGGCCCTGAATAGGTTCAGCTGTTGTTGCTTTTGCAGTTTCTTCCTCTGTTGTTGCTTTCTTAGTTGGTTCAGCAGTCGTTGCTTCCCTAGTTGCTGTAGCTGTCGTTTGTTCCCCTGTAGGTCCAACTGTCGTTTTTTCCTCATTAAGCTTAGCTGTAGTTACTGCTTCAGTTGCCAAAGGCGATATTTCCTTGGTAGGTGAAAGTGTGCTTGTTTCCATCTCAGGTCCAGCTGTCGATATTTGCTCTGTTGCCTCAGTACTAGTCACTCCCCGAGTTGGTGCTCGTGTTGATGCTTTCGTAGTAGGTCCAGCCGTCGTCATGTCCCCAGTAGTTACCACTGTGCTTATCTGCACTGATGTACTTGGCTTAGCTGTTGATGCCAGTTCCTGGCCAGACACATCAGGAGGAAGAACTGTGATAACGGGCAATGTTGCCCCTGTAGTTTGGATAACTGATGTTGATGGGATTCGTGTTGCCTTCTCAGCGACTGTAGTTATTGCTTCATCAGTTCTTTTTACTTTATCTGTAAGTGTAGCTGTTGTTACTTTCTTACTTGATACAGAAATTGTTTGTTGTGTCCTCTGCGTCGTCTTTTTTGTCTCCTTACTTGGTGCAGAAGTTGTTCGCTTTGCCGTAGATGTACCTGTTGTTTGTTCTTCAGTAAGTAAAGCTATTGTGACTTCTTTAGTAGGAGGAGCTGTTGTTTGTTGTTCAGTGAGAACAGGGGTTGTTGCTTCTTTAGTTGGTACAGATGTTGTTTGTTCTGCAGTTGGTGCATCTGTAATTTGCTCTTGCGTCGGTACAGCTGTTTTTTGGACCTCTGTGGGTGCAGCTGTAGCCTCAAGGTCAATAGTCGCAGCTGTTGATTGTTCTTCAACAGGAATAGATGTCGTTACTACCTTAGTTTGTGAGGATGTTGAGAGTTCCTCAGTTGGTGCAGCTGTTGTAACTTCCTCGGCTGTTGAAGCCGTTGTTGCTTCCTTTGTAGATCCAGCTGTTGTTTCTTCCTCAGTAGTTCCAGCCGTTGTTTCTTCCCCAGTTGGTGCAGGTGTTGTTTCTTTTTCGGTTGGCATAGCTGTAGTTACTTCCTCAGTTGGTGCAGCTGTTGTTATTTCCTCAGGTGGTGAGGCTGTTGATTCGGCCACAGCTAGTGCAGCTGTTGTTTCGGCCTCAGTTGGCGTAGCTGTTGTTTCTTTATCAGTTGTTGCAACTGTTGCTTCCTCCTCACTTGGTGGAGGTGTGGTTTCCGCCTCAGTTAGTGCAGCTGTTGTTTCCTCCTCACTTGGTGCAGCTGTTGTTTCTTTATCAGTAGGTGTAGCTGTTGTTTCTTTATCAATAGGTGCAGCTGTTGTTTCTTCCTCAGTTGTTCCTGCTGTTGTTTCTTTATCGGTTGGTGCGACTGTTGTTTCCTCATTAGTTGGTGCAGCTGTTGTTGCTTCCTCAGGTGGTGAAGCTGTTGTTTCGGCCACAGTTGGTGCAGCTGTTGTTCCGGCCTCAGTTAGTGCAGCTGTTGTTTCTTCCTCAATAGGTACAGCTATTGTTACTTGTTCAGTTGGTACACCTGTTGTTTTGTCCTCGGTTGGTGCAGCTGTCGTTTCTTCATCAGTTAGTGCAGCTGTTGTTTCTTCCTGAGCTGCTGCATCTGTTGATTCTTCCTCAGTTGGTGCAGCTGTTGTCTCGGCCTCAGTTGGTGCAGCTGTTGTTTCGGCTTCAGTTGGTGCAGCTGTTATTTCTTTGTCAGTTGGTGGAGCTGTTGTTGCTTCTTCACTGGGTGAAGCCGTTGTTTCGGTTGCAGTTGGTGCAGCTGTTGTTTCGGCCTCAGTTGGCGCAGCCGTTGTTTGGGCCTCACTTGGTGCAGTTGTTGTTTCGGCTTCAGTTGATGCAGCTGTTGTTTCGGCTTCAGTTGGCGCAACTGTTGTTTGGGCCTCGGTTGGTGCAGCTGTTGTTTCTTCATCTGTTAGTGCAGCTGTTGTTTCCACTTCAGTTGATGCAGTTTTTGTTTCCGCCTTAGTGGGCGCAACTGTTGTTTGAGTCTCAGTTGCTGCAGCTGTTGTTTCTTCACCAGTTGGTGTAGTTGTTGTTTCTTTATCAATGGGTGCAGCTGTTGTTTTAGCCACAGTTTGTGCAGCTGTTGTTTCCTCCTCTGTTATTGCAACTGTTGTTTCTTCCTCAGTTTGTGCAGCTGTTGTCGCTTCCTCAGGTGGTGAAGCTGTTGTTTCGGCTACAGTTGGTGCAGGTGTTGTTTCGGCCCCAGCTGCTTCAGCGGTAGTTTCCTTCTCAGTTGGTGCAGTTGTTTCTTCCTCAGTTGATGCAGCTGTTGTGTCCTCTTCAGTTGGTGCAGTTGTTGTTTCCTCCTCAGTTGGAGCAGCTGATGTTTCCCCTTCGGTTGATAAAGCTGTTGTTTGTTCCTTAGTTGGTGCTGCTGTTGTTTGTTGGTCGGTTGGTGCAACTGTTGTGTCTTCCACAGTTATTGCAGGTGATGTTTCCGCCTGAGTTGGCGCAGCTGTTGTTTGGGCCTCAGTTGGTGCAGCTGTTGTTTCTTCATCAGTTGATGCAGCTGTTGTTTCTTTATCAGTTGGTGCAGCTGTTGTTTCGGCCTCAGCTGCTGGATCTGTTGTTTCTTCCTCAGCTGGTGCAGCAGTTGTTTCGGCCTTAGTTGGTGCAGCTGTTGCTTCTTCATCAGTTGGTGCAGCTGTTGTTTCGTTATCAGTTGGTGCAGCTGTTGTTGTTTCTTCAGTTTCTGCAGCTGTTGTTGCCTCCTCAGTGGGTGAAGCTGTTGTTTGGGCCTCAGATGGTGCAGCGGTTGTTTCTTCAATAGCTGGTGCAGCTGTTGTTTCCCCTTCAGTTGGTGCAGTTGTAGTTTCCGCCTCACTTGGCGCAGCTGTTGTTTTGGCCACAGTTTCGGTCACAGTTGATGCAGCTGTTGTCTCGGCCTCAGTTGCTGCAGCTGTTGTTTGGGCCTCAGATGGTGCAGCTGTTATTTCGTGATCAATTGGTGCAGCTGTTGTTTTTTTATCAGCTGGTGCAGCTGTTGTTTCTTTATCAGTTGGTGCAGCTGTTGTTTCGACCTCAGCAGCTGCATCTGTTGTTTCTTCCTCAGTTGGTGGAGCTGTTGTTTGGGCCTCAGATGGTGCAGCTGTTATTTCCTCATCAGTTGGTGCAGCCGTTGTTTCTTTATCAGCTGGTGCAGCTGTTGTTTCTTTATCAGTTGGTGCAGCTGTTGTTTCGACCTCAGCTGCTGCATCTGTTGTTTCTTCCTCAGTTGGTGCAGCTGTTGTTTCGGCCTTAGTTGGTGCAG